ATTCCCTCATATAAATCTTCTCAATTTTTATATTCGATATTTAACTTATTCTCCTATTATCTACATTTCACTTACGAAAAGAGTATACTATAAAATCTAGATTCATCATCTCTGAAAGACTTTATTGCTTTGCTATTTAAGGCGACTAAAATAAGTTCTCATTCAATCACACAACTGGACTACAGTTTATCTTATAATATGGTGAGCAGTTTATTATATAATTAAAACCATCATAAAATTGAGTTCTTATATAAGATCTCAAATCATCTTGCGCAACCTGTCTAGTTAAAAGTAAATCACATCTTAAATGAATAATTGGTCATTGTTATATTGGCAAGATGGTATAGGTACTTGGAGCACTGGGCAGAAAAATCCACCCCATTCTCCATTATTTCAGACTTACACCAATTTAACTCCCAGAGATGTTTAGTTTATAATATAAAATAATTAAAAATTCAACTTTTTACTATTTTGAGAATTCTCTCACAATTTGATTTTATCATAATCAAAAGGGAAATATTCAATAAAAACATTTTTGTAAGTACAACTTCTGAAGAAATTTAAGCAACGCTCTATAGTGTGGGCTTTCCACAGGAAATGGTTTTGGAAAGTTTAAAGGTGAAAAAGATCCTTCTACTAAATACATTGGAACATGCTTGGTAGAAATATACACAAGAAGCTATCCTTAAGGTTAAAACAGATGTCTACAACAGTGTGCTTTAGAATGCCTCAGATGTAGTAAATGACTCCATCAAGAATAATAATATTATTTTTGGTTATCATATTCCTGAGCCTTCTAGATTCTCAACTACCAAATCCTTGTGAAACGACTTTTGAAATTTTAGAAAGACATAGTCAAAGATAATTGCAGTAATTTCTAAGAAAAAGTAAACTGAATAAGTAGAGCCATTAAGGCTATTGGTTGTGCCCCTTGATGGAATCGAAACTGCCTAGCTAAATAAATAAGGTAACATAAAATTAAAAATAACCAAAAAAGCAATAATATTTTTATAATAGTTAGATGTGTAATTAAAATGCTCTAGAAGAGGAAAATTTGATTACTTCAATACTTTTTTCTGTCTGAATAATTGTTCTCGAAAATGCCTCAATTTTAGATAGTATAAAACGTTATAAAAAATATGACACGTTATCTTCTTTTTTATTATCAGTCAGTGATTTTGAAGATAATTGGATAAATTTAATTTTATCATTGCATGACTCATTAGTGAGGTAATGTTGGTGCACTCCTTAAGGGGATTTGGAGGATCTCCCTTTTCAGTATGCCTTAAGAATTGCAATCCTAGAATCCTGTGCCCATAAGACTGGATTTGTCCCTGAAAGTCACCTCCGCAGCAGTGATATCCTTCCTGCTCCTTCATCCATGAACTCCAAATCCTGTTCTTTTTGTAACCACTCTAAAGTCCTGAAAGTAGGGTTGCTTCAGCTAGAGTTTGGGATTAGGATTTCTTAAATTTTATTCATTTTGTAATTTTTAACCAATTATATATTTATCAAAATCAATTTTTCTATAATATTACAAAAAAGTTGTAAAAATACATAGAATATCTTAAGAAACATATAAATATGAAAAATTTGTTAAATTAATCTTCCAAATTGATGTCAATATAAAACATTTTTATTTTGATATAAATTATTTTTAGTAGTCAATAGAAATTGCATAACCTATGAATTTCTAAACCTTCTTGACTACTAAAAATCCAAGTTATAAGAGCAACTGCTTTGATAAATTATTATGAAACAATTTGAGATTTCCTATATAACATCTCTTTTAAATTTGCCATAAGAAAATTTTAATTTACGGCTATATTAATTAAAGCGGATTGGATTTTTTCTTATTGATTCTCAAAATTAGTCTTTTGCAAAACCAAGAGATCTTTCGTTCCCTTCTTATTTGTTGATTCTTAATTGCAACTTTTCTAAATTCATTCTTAGATCTCATTGATATCATTTACTGTTTGATTAGTGAAATGCACTATCATAGTAAATTGAAATGTTTATTAAAGTTGAGGATATTCTTAATCTAGAATTCAAAATTTTTGAAGAATACTTGGAGTTTAATATTCAGTTATCCATTATATAAAATAACCCTCTACTAAATTCTCCAAAGATAAAACCATAAAATGAAAATAAAATTGGATCTACCCTTGAAAATGATATCATATATAATTTGTCTTATGAAGAATTTTTAAATTTCATTTTAATTATGATTTTTATAACTAATTAGAATTTTGATTAATAATTCCAGAACTTGATATCATAATCACTATATTTCAAATTTCCTATTTGCGATCTAAGCCACATTAAATTTATGTTCTGTTAATTAAAACCTTAATAAATAATAATTTTTTATCTCAAAATACTATTCAGAAAATAGCATTAATTGTAATTTATTGAATAAATTAAATAAATGAAATTGTTTATCTATCTGTTATAGTTCATGGTATAATTAGGAGAATCTCAACCTTTATGGAAAGTAGTTTATAACACTAAGAATTGGTATGATTTTTGTTATTAAGATTTATCAAATTATGGATTGTATTGCTCTAATTTTTGTACATTTTCTAATTGTGGGGATTCATCGTTACTCGGAGGACATAAATAATATAGTAAATTCTCCTCATTTTTCAACCTTCCAGGTCATGCATCTATAAAAATTACTTTGACTTTTGGAAGTAATATAAATATTGATATATAGAATTGATTTGTGGGATTAGAAATTATTCGAATATTTAGCTGACAACTATAATTAAGTTTTATCATTCAATAATGATCAAGGTCAACTTATTTGTGGGGATCTTCATAGAGACCTTATTTAAACTATAACAGTTACATTATCACCACACCCTTCTTCATCTCTAAATGTGTTAATGACTACAAATTTAGATTCGACTAATGTATAACTTGTAGATATTTAGGGATACTGGGGACTTAACCATATCAAAATAGAAATTGAAGAATGTCCTGGCAGTTGTGCATTTTGTCAAGATTCAACATTTGAATGCAAATAATGGATTAATTTTGCCTCATATTATTCATATGAATATTCATTTGACGGGTGGCTAATTGACAACAATTAACCATTTTAATATAGCAGATGCTTTTACTTTTCGTTGGCAGTAGGAGTTGATAAGCTTTTTAAAGGACAAAGCATAGAAAAGCTCATTTAATACCTACCTCCTCACTTTAAGATTCATATAGTTGTCAAACTGTGGGTATTTGGCAAATGGAATGAAACATTTAATTTGGATATCGATAATCAATTAATTTATTCTAAAAATATTTATAATTTGGATTTGAATACAATCATATCTTGTAATTCACAATAACTGAAGATATTTAATATTGATGCAAGTACATATCACACATCTCCAGAAATACTAATAAAAATGAAATCGGTGAAAGATTCAACACATGATGGATATTGGTGAATTTCATCATTTGACTTGTATGTAGCTTAATGTTCTGTTTGCTGTGAGGATTGTTAATGGAATAAAGTCTATAAACGGATTAGATGTATCAAACTATTTGGATTTTTAAATGGGAAATGCGTTCCTGGTAGATAAAATTATTTAAACTAGCACCTCCATTAGAATGTTCTTATATTAACATTAATCAAGTTTTTAGTTTAGAAACTAATTCCATAAACCAATTTGAACTAAAAATAAATGAACTAAATCTGGTTATGAGAGAGATTGGCTAAATACCACAAATTGTAGATAAGATTTTTTCCAAAATTAAAACCAACTCGG